AGCATCCTTTTGCTTGTCATCAGGGTAGTCTCAAGAGCAATTTCCTTTACTTGTGTTCTCGTCAATAGTATATAGTCTATAAACTGTTGTTTATAAGGATTTTTGTCTGCAAAAAGCTGAGCGTCTGTGTACCTCCAAGGGCAGAGCACACCTTTCAGCACATCAGTTCTGGAGTTGGACTGATTCAGCAAAGAGAAGGCATTTTGCTGCCTTAAATTTCGGTCACACATCTGAGTTGCTGTGGTTGAACATGTTCTTGTGCATCAGTTAAGCTACAGTAAGTTGTGTGAGTTATTTCAGGCATGTTAGAAACATCAGGTAAAACTCTCACCAAAATTTCAAAGTCACATTTTCTTTAGCAACACCCCCGTACATGTGTGCTCAGGTAAATCACAGTGATTTGTTACCCTAAATTAACTCCCTCATGTATCTGGAAACGTGAGCGGGCAATGTTCTGAGCCATTCTCTGAAAGTCGGTGTCTGACATCCTCCATATCCTCTTAGAGAATCATCTCTCTGATTTCCTTTGCATTTTGCCTCCTGATCATGACTAATTTGTTCTTCCCAGAGTATCTGAATCATTTGACTCTTTTACTCTATCCACTCTGAGTCTGAAGGATTTCCTCTTCCTTCTTTTATGTCTGGTCAAAAATTTCCCCCGCATAAATATCTTCGGTGTCAAATATATTTTAAATTACATAAAGGGAATTGATAAAGAGGCAAGAGCAAAAATGTTCAGGAGAGTGAGGAGAGTGTGTAGCGTATCCTTTTATTGCTGCTTCATGAAAAGGCAGTGCCTGGCTTTAGAAGACCTGCATCCCAATGACTTGTCTTCACACATTTTCCTTCTAACCACCTGACCCCTTCCCACTTGTAGACTGCTGCAATGAGAAAGGACGTGCCCAGAGAACATTTTCTGCTCCTCCACGATGCAGACAAGGGCTTCCTTAGGTCTCATCTCTCTTGCTAAGCAGTTATTCCATGGAAGTTGAAGCTGTCCCTCTGGCCTTCACTAGGGCCCTACATGCTGGTTCCAAGCCCCATTCCCTGTGATGGGATCTCCTGTGCCTGACAGATGCCCCAACACAGAGAAAAAAAAAGAGTCCTTGAAATCTCATAGATGTGGAGTCAAACGAGAGACCGCGATTACAAGCACTGAATGTCACTCCCCATCTATGGCAATGCAGGCTGCCTCCCTCCCTCCCTGCATCCTCCCATTAATAAATTCTGATTTCCCTTAAAATTCATTCCAGCCATGAGGCGTGAGACTGCTTTAGGTTCTGCATTGGTGCCATCAGCATTGCCAAGGGTTTATTAAGCTGTCTTTAGATGTTGGGTAGCAACTGAATTTCTCTTGACTTAAATATCGTGGTTGTTCTCTGTTTTGCCTGTTAACTTTCAGAGAAGCCTGCTGTCTTCATGAAGTCCTTGGACGATGTTTTTGGTGAGGAGCGGGGTGTGATTAAACTAGAATGTGAAGTCTCCAAAGAGAAGGTCAAACCTGTTTGGAAAAAGGATGGTGTGAAGCTCACTTCTGGTAACAAGTACGAGCAGATACAGTCTGGGAAGACCCTGTGCCTCCTCATCCGTGACCTTGAAAAGGCAGACTCAGGTTTATACACCTGTGATATTGGCACTGATGTTGCCAAGTCAAAGGTCAGCGTTCAGGGTAAGTATTGTAGATGAAGGACAGCCAAGGGGTGCTTGCAAATCTGGGTGGGCTTGGTCAATTTGCCTCACACCTATTCCTCCATAAGCCTCGCGTAACATGGTGATGTCTGAACAATCCGTGTTACTCTTTGATGTAAGTATATCTGGTGTTTCAGTAAAAGTCATGTGCAGAAATCTTCCCAGAAGAGCAAATACTTTCTAAAAAAAACCACTAAAAACCCCCAAGCAAACAACAACAACAAAAAACAACCAAAAAACCCAAGTCAAAAAATCCAAAGCATCTTGTGTTTCACATTTTTGAGCTATTAATTTGGAGTCCATTGTGGGAACACAAGAGTAGGACAACATTGTCTACCGAAGAACTCAGCAGTCAGTCTGTCTTCTAATCATTGTGGCTGCTTGAAGGAAAGAGAATTGTTTATGGCTCTCAAACTCATATTGATCATGAGACAAATATTGAATTTGTCTGATTGGAACACCAGGGTGGGTAGGGTGGTAACAACAAATACAAACGTCCCATTTCTCATATCAGTCTGGAGAAAAACCCCACACAGCATCCCAGAGGCTTCCTGTCTGACAGCTTTTCTCCCTTCTAGCTCCTTGAACCTTGACTCTTCTCCACTCGGTGAGCTGTTCTTCATGCAGTCCTTCCGAGTCATCCCTTTTTCTACAGCTTTGGGGTGATTCCGGGTGGATAATGCCTGAGAAATCCTTCCCATGTCAAATGCATCTGTAAGGAGTGGTGGTGGCCTGCCAATCCAGCAGATAAACCAGTCTGATGAGCTAAAAATGTCAATACTACTACTAATGACAATGATAGAAGCCTTTTCTCCCTGTATTAACCCACTTTTTGTCTTCCAGAATTGAACATAGGCATCACCAAACGGCTGAAGAACACTGAAATCCAGGAGGGAGAAGATTGCACTTTTGAGTGTATTTTGTCCCATGAAAGTATTGACGACTTCAGTTGGACGCTGAATGGGAGCAAAGTGGAAAGTGGTGGGCGATTTAAAGCCTCTAACGTGGGTCGGAAATACACGTTCAGTATCAAAAGCGTGATTCCTGGTGATGCTGGGGAAGTCATTTTCACTGCCCGTGGTCTAACCTCCAAGGCTTCTCTGGTTGTGAAAGGTAATGAGATCAGAAAGGTTCCGGGGTTTGATTTCTTGGGTGGCTTTTCGTAAGGAATAGCAGTAAACCATAAAGGCAAACTCTTGTTACGGTCAAAGTGAGTAGCAGCCTTCTCCGTGAGCCTTGAAGCACTGAGATTTTTCACTAAAAACAAGTGACAGGCTGACATTTTTATGGATATCTGAGAATTTCAGAACACACTGGGTAGTGTAATCGTACAGACAACTACTACCCAGACTGTGTGCATCTGAGATAATCACCCAAGGCTCCCTGGGTAGTCAGTGGAGAGAAGAAATACTTAGTTTTCAGACATGGTTCATCATCTGCGATTAGACCTATTTAGGCCAAAATAAATTATTCCTTGAAGTCCACTGCCTGTACTTAGCAGATCACTGCTGGCTGCGGAGTGGCCCTGGAGTGAGTGCTTCTGCTACATATCTCGGTAGCGCAGAAGTCTGTGTTTAGGGAAATAGATCCCCCCCCAAGTGCATGCACACAGTAGCTTCAGTAACAACAAAATGACATCCCCTGAAATGGATGCCACCAGGACAGGCCCTCAGTTCCTGTAAGCAATCGTTAATATTCACTGAGAGCCCGTAACTGCAGTTAATACAGGCTAAAGAGCAAGACTGCTTTTCCCCTCCTTTCCCTAACGTAATATGAACCATTCATTGGGGAATGCAAAAACTTGCTGGATATTTGAATTGCAAAAGCCCCAACCATAGAGGGATCATAATTTTTATTCAAAGCTCCTTTTTTTTTCTTTTTTTCTCCCTCTCTTCAGAAAAACCTACTGAGGTTATAAAGCAGCTGGAGGATAAAACCTCAGCAGCGGGGCAGGACATCAGCCTGAGCTGTGAATTGTCAAAACCTGATGTGAGCATCAGGTGGTACAAGGATGGCAAAGCGATCCGAAAAAGCCAGAAATATGACTTGCACCAGGAGGGAACACGGGCCATTCTGATCATCCATGACTCCACGGTCAAGGACAGTGGGGAGTACACCTGTGAGACAGAGGTCTCTAAAACAAAAGCCAGGATCACAGTACAAGGTCAGTTGAAACATGTATAGGGGCTGGCATGTACAGAAGTTGGGGTAAATATCTCCAACCCATGGGAGAAGTTCTTTTCTTCTATCTCCCTAAACAGAATCAATTTTTAGTTTTTAAAAAATGTCATGGATTAAAAGCTTTAAAAAAAAAAAATCTCTGAAAAAAACACTTTGTAAGTACTGAAAAATCTTATGTACTATGTAAAGAGCCAATCAAAATCAGTGATTTGAATTAGTCTTTTTTGAATATGGGTGATCAAAACTGTATGGTAAGTTTTGATCTGCAAGGTAAGACCTCACCTGGACCTGTACAACAGCATTAAATTTTCCTGGAAATATTTTACCTGATCTGTCCTGTGACAGAAGGTAGACCTGGTGATCTTAGATCCATTCCACCTGATAGGATGAGAGGAAACAGCCCCAGGTTGCACCAGGGGAGGTTTAGATTGGATGTCAGGAAAAATTTCTTCACTGAAAGGGTTGTCAAGACCAGAACAGGCCGCCCAGGGAAGTGGTGGCGTCACTGTCCCTGAAAGCATTTGAAAGATGTGTAGACGTGGCACTTAGGGACATGGTTTAGCAGTGGACTTGGCAGTGTGAGGTTAACGGTCGGACTCGATGGTCTTAAGGGCCTTTTTCAACATAAATGATTCTATGTTCTGTGATTCTACAAATGGGATCAGAGGGGTTTCAAGACCACTCTGTATGCTCAGGACTTTTTTGGGTAACAAATCTATTTCTGTCTGTCTCTCTTTTTTTTTTTTTTTTTTTTCCCTTCCAGAAAAACCTAATTATTTTGTCAAGGAACTCTCAGATCTGAAAGTGGATGAAAGCGGAACTGCAGTTTTTGTGTGCCAGAGCGAGAAAGCTGCCTCCTCTGTGATCTGGAGGAAAGGCATAGCTGAACTCAGGGCTGGCAGGAAATATGAGATCACACAGAAAGCACAAGTCCTCCAGCTGACCATAAAGAACTTGGAGAAGAGTGACAGTGACACTTACACCTGCGACATTGGTGATGCCCAGTCCAGAGCCAAACTAGTCGTGCAAGGTACGCCTGAGAGGAATGTGATGGTACCTCCCGTTTCTCCCACAAGAAACATTATATGCGCGGGCAGATCTATTTCTCAGTGCGTGGGTAGCAGATCCAGTGATTTCTGGCTCTGTCTCGCTCGTGATGTATACCCACTGCACAGGGCACGTGGACAAAAACACAGCAACATGGAGCTGGGCGTGCAGAGCAATTTGTCAATTTGAAGCCATGCCACCTGGAGTACTTTGGGTATGATTTAAACCCCGAAATGGTGATGTGAGGAGGGGCTGGTGTCCCTGTGTAAACGTACGATGGACATGATTCAGAGTGCCTGCTATTAGACAAGGGGAAAATTATTCTGCTTCCAGGCTTTTCTCCATGTCCCTTGATGCCTTTTTCCAGTAGTGGTTTCTAAGAGGGGATGGGTGAAGAAGTGGCCCAGGGATCTTTAAGGGCTTAATGTCCCTCTGCACCTTAGAGATGAAGGGTACAACCCAACCTCCAGCTGAAAAGTACAACCCAGCAGCTTTTATTTGATGCTACGGGCAGTAAATGGGCCTGTGAGGCCACAGCTAACAGCAGGGCAGTGTTGAAGAGGAAGGAGCGAGGTCTGGTTGTTACTGTTCCTCACAGTTCCCTCACTGGACCCCCAGCTGGGAGAAACCCTTGAGGTGAAACTGATGAAACGATGAAGAGAACAGAAGGAACAATTCAAGAATAGTCACATGGAGATGCAGTGGTGGTGTTCACTTATTAATTATTATAGTTAGTTATTAAAGACTAGGGGGTAAAGCTGGACTCCTCCACCTCCGATCATCTGCTAGAGCAGCCCTGAGAAGCAAAGAAATGCTTGATCCCCATGATGGCTTTAGGACCTGAGCTACCTGACTTTGCTGTGAGGTTTCTAACACCAACTCTTCCGAGTGGAAAATAACTTCTCTGTCACAAAGCTCAAGATAAAAGTAAATTTTGCCTGTACCGGTTTTGTAAAGTAGGAGCAACATCAGACATGCCTTTGTACACATTTTTTAATTAGTTATTTATAGTTAGGTGTATGTCTGTATCTATACAGGCAGGTTTTCAGGGCTGTTGTTTTGTTTCTTTTTTACTGAAGCTGCAGTCAGACACTCTCTCCACTTCCCGCTGTGTTTATAGTTGGATAAAGCTCAAAGAAGGTGGGGGCTGGGTGGTCCTGTCCCACAGAAAGCCAGTTATATTTGCTCTAGAACAACAGAGGGGTTGCCATGGGAGGGATCATCTGCTTAGTGATGTCTAGAGCCCAGTGGTGCTGTCAGAGCCGCATCCTTTCAGCCTTTCCAGGGAGTTTCATTAGGAGAAACTTTATAACACTGGCTTTGCATTATACTTGCTGCTTGCTCTGCTATATGTGTTCTGGTGCTTTGACGCTGTCTTCATCCTATTTTGGTGTGTGTCCTGTATATATTATCTTCCTAGGAATGGTTTTTGTGTTCAATAACAGGGGAATTGTGTTTCAGTCTTCTGTATCATGAAGATATTTCTTTCTTGAAATACTCACATGGGAAATCTTAGAGTTTTCCATATCGATTTTCATGCTAGAAAGTGAAGATTCCAGTAATTGATGTATCTATGTTCCTTTCAGGCCAGAAAGTGCTAATAACAGAAGACCTGGAAGATGTCACTGTGTTAGAAGGAGAATCTGCCATGTTCAAATGCAGAATCTCTCCTGTAGACTATAGCAAAGTGCAGTGGTTTTTGGATAAAACCCCACTCCATACCAATGAACTTAATGAGATCCAGTCTCAGCCTGGTGGATATCACTTGCTAACGTTGAAAAAACTCTCACTGAAGGACTCGGGGGTCATTGCATTTGAAGCTGGTGATAAGAAAACATCTGCCAGTTTGGTTGTTAAAGGTAATTCAATCATAAAAACTGCAGGAGAGGAAAGAATGTGTAGAAATAAATACGGGTTAATGTGCGTAGGTGCAAAAAAATAACAAAAATGCTACAAATTGGCCCCATCGTGTGTATATCTGTGTATGTTCAAGAATAGCATTACCTATATAATGAAGCTAGGGCTCGGGCACAAACACTTCATAATCCTGGACAACTCTCAGTGTGTTTATTGGAACTTAGGTGGGAATGTTATACTGTGGTGATGGTACATCGGGTGCCTTGTCCAGTTTTCCTTGAGCTGAGCTGGTAGGGTGATGATAAGTAAGGAGAAATCAATCAGTTCAAGGAAAAAAAGGGGTGCCAATAATAAGTTTCTAATTTAGTTTTCATTATTTGAAAGGCAGCATTACGTGTGTTCTCTGCTATTCATTGTTGAAAATGAATTGTTTTGGCTGGAAAAGTTAAACTGAGTTAAACCTGCAGTGTTAGTGTAGTTCTATAGCAAGGGAATCAAATGAATACCAGAGAGCCCAGGAGTGCAGGATTAGAGAGGTGTTTTCTTACTGGAAACATAAATATTTCTCATTGCCCAGAGATGTAAAGCACAGAGTCTCCACTGTGTCAGATCATATTCTCATTCTTTTCAGAATCACTGTGTTTCTAGCACAGAACTTTTTTTTTTTTTTTCAAAATTTGAAAATTTGCCCAAATTTTACCATGCTAAATGGAAACAGATAGTTTTTTTCTATCTATCTATCTATACAGGCAAATGAAAGCTTTGCAAAAGGCTGGTTCCTTTGGGTAACGCTGATATGTGATGCTATGGTACCAAAACCAGGTTTTGGTCTCCTGATTGATTGGATTCCTATGATTGAAAAAGGATTAAGCTAGGCAGGATGAGATCTACCTTGGCCAATTTAGCTACTGCTATCTACCTTAGGCTACTTCTATCAGCTGTATAGAAAGACAAGCACTTCCAGAGAGCAGTTCATCTTCCCTGTCCTCATGGCTTATTTTGGAAGCGAATATCTGGTCTATGGAGGTGTCTGTCATCTTCCAGCAGTTATAGAGACACCCTACATGACCGGTCTGAGCTATCTGCCTGTTTTTTAGAGGACTCATACTGATGAGAGGAGGCCTGCTCTAGATATGACTGGCTTTGAGAAACCTGTATTGCACCTCACTTCATGCAGAATTAACTTTCCCACATTCAGTTAGAAGGTTCAAACTAGTCAGCTCGCATAGAAAAGGGCTTAGGAAAATCAGGCCTCCATCTTGTTCCTGTTTAGTGAGATGTGAGAGATCTTATTTATGTTCTTCAACAGGGATATTGTCTTCTCAGTTTCTCCCAGGTGGCATTAGGTATTTACTAAACAACTTATGGCATGACTGATGCCTTCCTGAGGGTTTCATAGTCATGAACACCAAATTATTTGTTACTAACATTAACCTGTAGTTTTGATACAAGTAATCTTGGATGTAAATGTCACAGATTACTTGTGATCTGAAAATCCACACCTCTTCTGAAACATCTCAGATGGTTTTTATGTGATTCTAGAGAAGCCCTGCATCTTCACAAAGGAGCTGGTTGATACTGAAGTCACTGAGGGAGAGGATGTGATCCTTCACTGTGAAACCTCCAAATCAGACAGCCCTGTAAAGTGGTGCAAAGACGGGAAGAGCCTTAGGAATTCTTCCAAGTATAACATCAGCCGGTCGGGATTTGAAGCCAAGCTTGTCATTCACAGGGCAGAAGAAAGAGACAGTGGCAGATATGAGTGTGAGGCTGGAGCCGCTAAAAGTAGTGCGGTTATTACTGTCAAGGGTAAGAACATTTGGAGTGATGGTTTGGGTCCTACCTCAACATCTAACACTGAGGTCAGAGTAATAAATTGAAATGATAAAAATGTGAAACTGTACTGAAAAGGAAACTCATGTTTTTGTGCCATAGTGACAGAATGTGAAACAGGAAAATCCTTCATCTTACCTGGTTTTAGCTCTGTGAAAGTTAAGTGCCTAAGCTCTCTAGAGAAGAGAGCAACGGGTCAGTAGAGGACAGTGGGTATCTCTGTAGGAGATCTACCCAGCCTAAGAGGTAATCCATAGAAAGGATTAATCCCTTTCTGTAGATGTCTTTCTTCAAGGATGGCTCTCTCCAGAGAAGGAGCTCACACACCCACATTTGTCTGGGTAATTGCTTTAGGCAGCCAAATTTATTGAGAGTAATGCATCCAAAGAGCATGATCTGGCAGGAGGTGCTATCTAAAGGGTGGCTGTCTGAGCTGAAGCGAAAGTTCTCCTCTTATACACATGAGACTTTAGTGTATTTCCTTGAGCACCAAGCACACTGGTAAGCGTTGGGTCTGAGCCGTGTCAGAACTGGACTCACCTACTACCCATGTTATAATCTCTTTGCCTGTCTTGAGTCACTGCCCCAGCCTGAAGTTGAGGAGGAATTCAGTTTCCATGAGCAATATCGCTCATTCACATGGGCAGGTTCGAGCAGGTACAGGGAGGCTGTTAATGGCACAGGCTGTGTTTAGCCTGACCAGTGGATATCCTGCAGGCAGCTGGTATAACACGCTTGGGAAGGGCAGATTGGAAGCTACCCCTGGATTAGAGAAGTTAAGGTGAACAAAAGGTATTTGGGTTGTTGGACTAGTCAACCTGAACCTCAGACCATGAAGAGGGAAGGCAAGTTGCTCACAGTATTTATCTAAAGCACAAAGAAAGAAGCCAACTTAAGGCTGAGCTCTGCTGTGCAAGGAAATAGAAGACCTTGATGACATAATGAAGAAGAGAGGTGATGGTTATTGGTCCCAATATTCTATGTCTTTCTGTAGCACTAGGGTGTTTTCCCAGTACCCATTACACACAAAAGGTCTGTGTTGACTTCAGTAGGACCTGACTCTCACCCATGAGGAAGAACAATTATCTGTTAGAAAAAAATGCATTCATAATGTTACACAAGAGCCCCATTTTTCCCACAGAGAAGGGTGTGGATGGATGTAGGGTTTAAACACATGGATTCAGATCCCCAGTAGATGTGAAGGAGTCAAGTCAGAAGGATGCCTACAAAAACTTACACTGTTGTAGCTTTCCTTTATCGATTAGTGTCACGTCAGAACAGCAGAATGCAAAAATAGCAAAAAAAAAAAAAAAAAAACCCAAAAAGTCAGTAGCTGTGTGACACTGAGTGTCCCAAATGAGAGGTGAAAGGGGAACAGATGAATAGGCTGTAGTTTTTCAGTGGCCACAGGACAACTGCATCATGGATCAGCAGCTGACTTGCATCTTCGTAAGACAGCAGAAGCTCGGAAGAAATTGTTGTTTTTTTCATGACCTGAAGGGAAAACACTTCAGCTGAGGTTTTTTTCCCAACAGTTGCCTTCCCTACATTAGCTCACCTTAAAGCCTTGAATCCCAGGCTGTGACAGAGCCTGCAGAGAAATCCCCACAGGGACCCTTTCACATACAGCTGTGCTTTCCTCTCTGTGTTTGCTCTGTGCTGTTTTTAAGTCCGTATTCATGTTGAGTAAAAAGATGTTGTGGGGTTTTTTAATGATGAGAAATGGATACCGCTGGTCATGACAGAAAGCGCTTTGCCATTTCTCCGTGTCCTCTGTGCTATGTGCAAGCTGACCTCAGCAGCTTTATGTTTTTTGTGCCAGTGGTCCAGCTCTGACCACCCATCTGCAGCACTGCCACGCGTTGTTTGCATCATTAATAGCAGTGCAGCATCTGCCAGTAGTGTAAATAATGACAACAGTGATAGTAGCAACATCTTCAATAGTACAGACAGTGGATAAAGGGAAAACGAGCATATGGTCTCAACTATTTTTTTGCTGCTGGCAGCCAGATGTGAGTTGTCAGAATCTGTTTGCTATTTGCTAGTGCTTTTTCATTCCTGTGGTTTTCTATCTCAATAACAAAGTCTGAAGCAAAGAAGGGAAAGTGATTTCCAGTCTGTGAGTTTCCTTAAACATTTGCAATCTTCTTTTTCAGAAATACCAGTTCTTTTCAAGCACGAGCTCCAAAACGAAGAAGCTAAAGAAGGAAAACAAGTCAAGCTGACCTGTGAGCTCAGCAAACCCGATACCCCAGTGAAATGGATGAAAGGAGACACTGTTCTCTATGCCAGCGAGAAGTATGAATTTAAGCAGCGTGGTACTGTGGCAGAGCTCATTATTCGAGATGTCAAATCGATAGACTCTGGGGACTATAGCTGCAGCACTGGCGAGCTGAAGACCACTGCTCGGGTGAAAGTGAATGGTAGGCAGAGTTAGACACGCTGCTACACTTTCTTAATTCATTGCTTAATAGCTCTTCTACTAAAAAAAAAATCACATAGCACTTCTTTTTCTGTGGCAGTGCCATCTACAAATTCATATGTAAAATTGAAAGATAATATTGCACACTGTAAGCACCTGTATTTCATTCAAGTAATCTCACATTATGCGGCCGGGATTTTAAATCTGTAACTTCCCACTCAGCAAAAGATAAATAAGTGCAGAGGGTTCGTTTTCTATACCCTATGTACAATAGCTCCTCCCTTATCAGCTCTTTTACGTGGTTGTGATCAAGACTGGAGTTAGAGATGGAGCACAGGAACGTGAAAACATAAGTCCAGTCCCTGGCAAACTGCAGGCGGCCAACTGATTACCGTTTAGACCCCCAAACTCCCCAAAACATCCTTTTTAAAGGTTCTCAGATACCATCTGCACTCCCTAATGCCCTTAAACAAATACAGTACCTTTAGTTGTGTATCAAAAGTGGTACGTGCTGGAGCAGAAAGCAGGAGAGATGAACATGAGGGCATGAACACTGCCTTAGAGCCCTGCAGCAGCAGGGACTTCTCTGGGTGAAGAAGCCCAGAGGACTCGGAAGGGGTCCTTATTAAAGATGAGAGAAACTTTCCCCATACTCCTAGGAATCCACAGTGAGATGGCAACATCTTGGGGGGGGGCGGGGGAGTTTTCTCCCTGCTCCCAAGCAGAATCACTTTGATGCCACACAGCCAAGGGAGCGTCTAGAGCCGCTCATTTGGAAAAGGACTGGGTTTAAGAGGTGACAGCTATCGTGGGGCACAGCAGGTCGAGAGGGCATGTCCTAATCCTTGGTTCTGTGTTCTAGCTGTGCCTGTCCTCTTTAAACAAGCCCTGGAGAACACGGAAATGGAAGAGGGGAAATCTGTCTCCTTGCGCTGCGAACTCACAAAAGCTGATGCCACCGTGGTGTGGAAGAAGGGAGAAGCCGCACTCCAGGCAAGTGCCAAATATGAAATGAAGCAGAAGGGGACAGTGGCAGAGCTGGTGATTCATAATGCAGAGCCAGAAGATGCAGGAAGATACACCTGTGACGCTGGAGACCAGCAGACCACAGCCCAAGTCAAAATCCATGGTAGGAATAAGACACCTGCTTGTAACCACTTGTTGTTGTTCTTGCCACAGTCCTGCTAGCTCCCGCACGTTTGTAGTGAGCCTTCAGAAAAACCAGGGGTCAGTGCAAACAAAAGGCAGCTCTGGCTGGGTCCATTATGTTCTCTGTTTTCTAGGACAATTACTTCATGCTAAAACATAGCAATCAAATGTACCTGATAACAAGTTCTCTTTCCTTGCCTCTGAAATAACTGTTCTGCTTTCTGCTCTGGACAGAGGCGCTTGTCTGAGCTCTAAGCCAGAAGGTAAGAAGGGTCTCAGCTACACGTTCTGTTGAAGAGCAGGCAATTCTCTTCTGCACTTTCTCAGCAAGTTTTTCACACGTCTTTGACCATCAGCATTTGGGCAGCAGAAGGGTAATTACCTTGATATTCTAATTATTGGGAAATAATTGTTTTGGTTTCTTTTTCTTCCCAAACTCATGGTGTGCTATTGTAAACACAAGTAAATGCAGAAGTGCAGGTAGGTCAGAGCTTATTAGCTGTGCCAAGAGAATTTTTTTTTTTTGGTTTTAAGTCCCATATGAGGTCACCGGTTGGTCATGATGCTCCTAAAGTAAAATGAGAACGCTTCATTTCTCAGCCGCCTCTGCGCTCATCAAAGAAGAGCTGAAGAGCGTGGAAGCTGTGGAAGGTGGGACTGCCACCCTGCGATGCCAGCTGAGCAGAGAGGCCCCCGTGGAGTGGAGGAAGGGGCACACTCTTCTCCGGCCGAGTACCAAGTACAGGATGAGGCAGGAGGGCACAGTGGCTGAGCTGCTGATCCACGATCTGGACCCAAAGGATGCTGGAGACTACACATGTGTAGTGGGGAACCAAAAAAACACAGCAGCCTTGTCAGTGAATGGTAAAAAGTCAGAAATAACCCATGAAACTGGAATGTTTTTGTCCATTTCTTCCCTCCTCCTCTCCGTACATTCCTTTACAGCACCTACCTTTATGTCCTGCTTCTACTATTTTCCTCCTTCCACTTTTTCATGTGTCCATGTCACTCCTTTCCCCAATCTCCATCCACGATCAGATTTCATTATGCCTAATGTTGTGTGTGCTGTGTTGTCTTCTCACCTTTCCTCACGTGAAGGGTGCTGACATGCATGTACCTTTTCCTGAATTAGTATGGAAACACAAGATTCCTTGGGATTTTCTGTTAAGAAGGGTTCATCACCTTTAAGGATAAGGATGAGTTCATCATTTGTGTGCATGATCCCAATCAAGATCACTCATGCTTTGATTCCCACAGAACAATTTACCAGAGATCTTTTTTACTGGCCACAAAAAAAAAAAAGGCACAGATGTTTTTAAGAATAAAGGTTTCAAAAGAAGGCTTAGGTAGTCAGATGATAACTCACAATTCAGCCTCTGACCAGAGATCTGGCCAGGGCCTTGGGTTGCAATCCCTTTCCATTCTGCATCTCTCAGCCCTGCCAATCCGTTTCAAAAAAGAGCTGAAGAACGAGGAAGCCACCGAGAGCGGGACGGCCACGCTGCAGTGCGAGCTGAGCCAGGCGGTGGGCTCGGTCGAGTGGAGGAAGGACGGGAAGGTGCTGATGCCCAACGGCAAGTACAAAATGAGACGGGAAGGGCGTTTTGTTGAGCTGGTGATCCAAGACCTAGACTTGACGGATGCTGGGAGCTATACCTGCGTGTGCGGAGACCAGAAGACAACAGCTGCTTTGAGAGTGAATGGTAACTGTTCTACCCGTGTTTCTCGTTAAGCCCCAAACGTAGCATTTTCGACAGCGTTTGCTGCTCATCCAAAGTCTGATCGGTGTGATTTCTTAGAGGTTTCATGTTCTCAGCTCTCTGGTGCCGAAGAGTCACCCTATGAGAGAATATTCCCTTGGGCTTTTTTTTTGCTTTTCGACAGCACAGCTACAGCTATGTTGTATATTGTTTTCCCTAATTGATTTCTCTCTAATCTAGGAGATTTTACCCCCCTTTCAATGGCATCCACCTAGCAACAGTGCATTTTTAAAGTGTATACACTGCAGCCCCGTAACTCACAGCAGAGTCCAGTTCATTTCGATCTAGTACTGATTCCTTTTCTGTTGGTATTGCATCCTTCAGCCTTGCCTATCCTCTTCCAAGAAGAAATGTTGAACAAGGAAGCTACAGAAGGGGAGGCAGTCACTTTGCACTGTAAACTGAGCAAATCGGCCCCGGTTGAGTGGAGAAAGGGGAATAAGGTCCTCAAGCCAAGTGAAAAATACAAAATAGAGCAGGAAGGTCCCTTTGCGGAGCTGATGATCCGGGATTTGGATCTGGCAGATGCTGGTGATTACAGCTGTGTGTGCGGAGATCAACAGACTACGGCTGCTTTGGCAGTAAATGGTAAAAGAAATTCTCAGCACGTGCCCCAAGTAAACCTGTATAATCCCAAGAGCTCTTCCTCTTCTTCTGCTGTTTCATCTGGTCCCTGTATACTCTCTATCCTTCCCCCTGCTGATTAATTTTTCTATCCTGTTTTCCTTCTCTCTCTCTCTCCTTTTGCCCAATGCTCTTTTGATGTGCTATTTGTCTTCCTCGGTGCTACGTTCAAATGACAAGTGCAGTACATGTCCCCAGCTCAGCACCATCTCCCTAGTCCCATAGAGCCGCTTGTTTGAAAGTTTTCCCATAGGGTTTGACCTAAAAGTGGGAAAATTTCCTTTTTGTAGCTTAGACTGTTACACTTGTTGCTCCTAAGAGGAATAAGTTTTCATCAATGTATGATGCTACACAAGGACCATCATAATGAAAAATAGCCTTTTCGTACTCCTGCTATTCCCAGCCCTTTTTTTACCAATTTTGGCTTAACTCTTCCAACGCATATACTTTATCTCTGCTGAAAGCTGACAGCATGTTTGTAACTAACTGCTCTGTTTTAAGGGCCTCTATTTATAAAAATACAGACAGCGCCATGAATCAGGCAATTCTGTAGAACTGCTGTTTTTCTCAAAGGAAACAACATGCTCTGTGGCTCATATTGAAGTACTGCTTCTAATTTTAGCCCTTTGATTTTGTGGTGTATAAAGTAAAGGATAGATGGCTTGTCAACTACATTTGCAGATAGACAGACTTGCTTTTAAAGCAAGTATTGAAGTGTGAGGACAAAAAGATTAAATATCAGACTCAAACCTCTTTTGAAATGTTAGAGATTGGAACAAAATCCTGGCATGTGGAGGTCTTGTGGCTTCAGTGACATGCAGGTTCAGGGAGATAAGCAAAGAGAGCGAGTAGATCATGGGTCAGGCTTTCTCAGCTTTGATGCTGTGTCCGTATTGCATTTACTCTGCAGTCCTGCCTGCTCTTTTCACCAAAGAACTGACAGATGCAGAAGCCACAGAAGGTAAAAGTGTCTCTCTGCACTGCGAGCTGAACAAGGCTGCTGCTAATGTGGAGTGGAAGAAGGGATTCAAGACCCTCAGATCAAGTGAAAAATACAAAATGAAACGTGAAGGTGTCGTTGCTGAGCTTATAATCCAAAATCTAGACACGACGGATGCTGGAAATTATTCCTGTGTGTGCGGAGACCAGCAGACTATGGCAGTTTTAACAGTACATGGTAAAGCAAACAAAACAAGACACGTACTTTTAGTATCTACCCTCTTTCCTCTGTTCGTTTGGGCAGACACCTGGTTACCCTACCCTCTCCTTCCTCCTGTCAGGCCCTTATCCACAGCCCACTGATGCCAATGAAGTGCTGTCACTGGTGTCGGCGCAGCCAGGGTGCAAGGCACAAGAGGGGTATCAGTACGCAAGCTCAGAGTACAGGCAACTGGTTTAATCAGGGTCCATCATTTTGCTTTCCTCTTGAAAGCTCTTTTATTAGACTCCCCGTTATGCTCAAGCCCAGTAAAACAGGTTGCCTCAAAGGGACTATGGCTTAAGGATTTTAAGGCTTCATAAAATTCCCAAAGGTTAGCTTATTCCCTGGAATCTTATTCCCATACTCCATTCCTGGGACAACAAGGTGCTTTTATACATGCAGGCTAGTTGTCATTGCGTTCAGTTACTGTCCTGTGTAAAGCAAGCCCAAACTTTCTAAGGGACCACCATGCTCAGGGAGAACTTTAATTTTTACTGCAGCTGACATATTTGAAAGGATATGTCAGTTCAGGTGAAAATGCTTGTTTTCTCCCACCCCGTGTATTGAAATGAGCAACTTCATTTCAAACTGACATTTAGAATGAAACTCCAGAGTTTCATTATTTTTTGTTAATGTACCATGTGTTTTTGTTTGCTTAAGTATGTGAAAACATAGGAAACATCCTCCCATTATGGTTTAAAACATCATATAAGAAAACCAATTTTTTTTCAGAAATTTCAAATTGATATTTGTTCTTCTTGCTTGAAATTTCCCAGAGAAAACTGGGGTTTCTTCTTCTGTTTGTCATGATTTATGACTCTGAGTACGTGTAAAATATCTCTACAATTTCTGCAAGCATTGAATCCTGGTGATGACATCTTTTCCTCATACTGATTCATGGAGACTATTGAGAATCGATGTTCTTGTATTGATAAAACAGTTCAAGATAAGAGGGAAAAGGAAAATTAAACATCGATGTTTAATTTTAACTCTTTGGAGCGTGACATCTTGCTACTCATATTGCTGTCCTTCAGCTTTGCCTGCATTTTTCAAAGAAGGATTGAAGAACAGAGAAGCCACAGACGGTGCAACAGCCACTCTGCACTGCGAGCTGAGCCAGGTCGGTGTCCCAGTGGAGTGGAAAAAAGGGGACAAGACACTCAAACCGAGTGATAAGTATAGGATGAGACAAGAAGATACCGCTGCAGAGCTGTTGATCCGAGATCTGGAGGTAGAAGATACAGGAGAATATACCTGTGTGTGTGGAGATCAGAAGACCTCAGCTGTCTTGACAGTCCATGGTAAAAAAGCCATTCTCTGTTACCGTAGTAGTATCGCAAGGAGATCCCTTTTCTCTGACAGCTTTCTTTCCCACTTGCTTTGATGTTTTGATTCTGCAGCGTTTTCTCAGTTTGCTGGCTGTGTTTTATCCCACCTCCCACTGTCTGTTAGTTTGAAACTGATGGCTTTATAGCCAAGTAAAGAAGAATTGTGAGGATTTCCCATCTTAGTCTTCACTTTTTAAAAGTGAAAAAGGCACCTGTATGCAAGGCCAAGAGTAAGCAGACCTCCAGCAGCATCGTTCTCAGAAGGTTTGTCCTTGCATCCCGCTGATGTCAGCGGCTTTTGATGCTTAACTTGAAGGAATGATCTTTAAAAACGCTGTTTGAGGTTAGTGAGAGGTTTTCCCATCCAGGAATGAATGACTGTCCTCCTCCTTTGTGGGTCTGTGATATATTCTGCTCAGGAAATGGTACTTTCCAAAAACAAAGCCCCAAATCATTATTCTGCAGATCCTGATTTAGGGAGTAGTGAGACAGCTTTTGTTCCTGTCTCTGCCATTGTGGATAGCAACAAGCTTTGGTTGCCCCTCCAGCAGAGGCAGTTCATACAGAGTTCCAATAGATGAAAGAAAATGTTTTATTTGAGATATATCTTAAGGATAAGATACTTCTAAGGACAGGGGCAAAATTGTGGAGGCAAAACTCTCTTCCCTCTGATTTTCCGCATGCTTTTACTTCCTTTTCTTTCTCCCAGCTGGAGGTACTTCTGTTCCTCCCCTTCTCTGAGCTGGTCCTTTCTTCCCTGTGCAAGTCGATTCCTTTTCACGTTAGTGGCACACCACGAGGCGACTTGTTGAATGCTTCTAAACCCCTCCCTGTATTCCTGATATTAGAGCCATTGTGTCCTTGGAAATAGTATCTTAAAGGTGCACCTGAAGTTATATTACTGATCATTTGTTTTCTGAACCAGAAAGACAAATTATGGTGTCAGGAAAGGTAGAGATCTCCAGCGGGCAGTGCTGTCATCCAGGGTGATGACTTTCAGTCAAAAGTCATATCATTAATGTTCAAGATAGATGATTTCAGACTGAAAGAGGTAGAGAGGACTGCTGGAATCAGCTGGGAAGTGATGAGCTTGCTGTCTAGGTCAACGTTAGAAGCAGGTCATGGTGGCAATTATCCCTGTGAGATCCTGCAGTAGTTTTCTAACAGATGCAGTTTCAAGACTAGATGATTTGTTTTCCTGTAATAGCGAAGGACTGGCCTCAGGACCTAGTCCTAAGTTCCTCAAGGTCTGGTTAATGGTTTTGATGTCTTTTCTGTCTGTATTACATCCCGTAGCTTTGCCTGCACTGTTCAAAAAAGAACTTGTCAATATAGAAGCCACAGAAAACGGGACGGCTGTTCTGCAGTGTGAGCTAACTAAACCCACTCCGGTGGAGTGGAGGAAAGGGCAAAAGGTGCTCAAGCCTAGTGAGAAGTACAAAATGAGACTGAAGGATACCATTGCTGAGCTGACAATCCATAGCCTGGAGGAACAAGATGCAGGAGATTACACGTGTGTGTGCGGAGACAAGACAACTGCTGCATCCCTGACAGTGCATGGTAAAATACATAAGTTTAATAGGGATTTTCTGCTTTGTCCTCTGTGATCTCATGGAGGATCACGAACTGGTCTTGATGCCATCTAATATTTTAAATTGTTATGACAGCTATATCAACCACTGGGAATATCTTTTACTGAAAGTCCTTCTCTTAGGACTGAGAAATAGCCCCATACAGTCTTTTCTGTCCCTGTTCTTTCACGTTAATGGAGTCAAAGCAAATAATGAAGACCTCGGTGAAGTTGTAAATAGCTCTTTCAGTATTTCCATTAATTAATTTCGCTAGGCATATCACAGAATGGTAGGGGCTGGAAGGGACCTCACTGAGGTTGCACTTGTTTTTCTTGAATGGAATTGAAAGTTGCTCTGTTACGGTAACAACCGAGAAAGGCAGGTGAGAATGCTGCACGGCAGCCTGGAATTTTAAATAACCTCGTGTTCATTTTAATTGTTCATCTGATCTTAAGACAGAGCTGCGCATAGTTCCTTGAAATCTTGGGATCAGCTTTCTGGTGTTATATCTCAACGTGCCTTTAAAGCATACCTTCCAGTACTGAAATTATAGCTCTACAACACTGATTTCCAAATCAGTCATGACATGCTGGATGGGGTGTGTTGCAAAGCACAAGGAGGGATGTCCCTGAAATCATTGCTTGCCACTCAGCTGTCGTATATTCTACTGATTAAAGGGTTTTAGTGCAGTGGAGCAGCCAAGATTCGGTATTCCCTCAGTTTTAAAGTGCTCTCTCTTCACCTGTGATCTTCAGCCCTTCCTCCGCGTTTTAAAAAAGAGTTGAGGAGCGTGGAAGCCACAGAAAACGGCACGGCCACTTTCTGCTGTGAACTGAACAAGCCCGCAGCTGCTGTGGAATGGAGGAAAGGAGAGAGAGCCCTGGAGGCAAATGACAAGTTCACCATGAGGCACGAGGGCACAACTGCTGAGCTGGTGATCAGTGATTTAGATCTGACCGATGCTGGGGATTACACATGCTGTTATGGAGATCAGAAAACCACGGCTACACTAAAAGTGAATGGTAAAAAAAAAAATCAAATTAAGTGGATTATTTTCTACCAATTGTTTTTTAAGAGCAAGGTAGATTTGGCTTTGAAATTGCAGCCCCATTTCTGATCAATTTAACAACACATGGTTGGACATGGGCACGCTTGAGTGCACTGGTCAGTATCAGGCACTGATCAGGTGTTTGTGGCAAAAATTTCGGATATTCATCTTGATTCCAACTTACTTCTTTCATGCTCATGTTCAGTAGCAGTTGCTAAAAAAGGAAAATCACATTATTGTAATGTTGGTTGTAAAGACATTACAATCCGAAAGTTGAGAATATTACAATAGGATTATAAATTATTTTTTTTTATGATACAGTTTTCAGTGTTTCAGAATAATTTTAATTGTTCATCCGATCTTAAGACAGAGCTGTGCATAGTTCCTTGAAATTTTTGGGATCAAAGATTTGACAGGCAAGTTCTCCTCAGACCATTATCTGAGGAGAAATCTCATGGGAAAGTGAGATTGATGCCTCAGGTATATTTTAATTTATGAACTTTTTCAGAACGATGTACATTGCAATAGAACTTACTCCACTTGGGCTTTATTTTCCATTGTGCCAGGCAATACCCAAAGTAAGTTAGAGCTCAGCTCAGTCTTGCAGAGTCTGAAGTCGAGACTGGTGTGGCTCTGCGCTTCGTGCTATAGACCATACTGTAAAAAAAGCTCTGACTTACGAACAAGATGTTCTCCAGCTTTCCAAAGTCGCCATCGTATGTTTCCCAGAGTGGTTATCAATCCTATTTGATTAGGGAAGGCTTTGCTTGTCACATGTGGTTGACAGACCACAGATAAATAGTTACTTGAATAGCTGCCATGGTCATACATTCTGCTCATTTTGAACTCCTCAGCCTTGCCTGCACACTTCAAGAAAGAGATGAAGAACGAAGAAGCCACAGAAGGTGGAACAGCCACGCTACAGTGTGAGCTGTCTAGGGCTGCCTCTGTGGAGTGGAAAAAGAAACACAAAGTGCTCAAATCAAGTGAAAAATATACTATGAGACAGGAAGGTACTACAGCACAGCTGCTGATCCATGCTTTAGAAGTCAAGGATGCTGGGGAGTATACCTGTGTGTGTGGAGGTGAGAAGACTACTGCTGCACTGACAGTGCACGGTAAGAAAACAGAAATGAGAAATTTTTGTGTGATTTGTCTCCTGTCTCCTCTGGAAACCTCAGTACTGACACACAATGAGTTCTTTCTCTAATCTTGCCATCATTAATTCTGTCAGTAATGAATTTTCTTTTTTCTTTTTTTTTTTAATAGAGATTTTTATCTAATTCTAACTAGAATTGCAGTTCCACGGATTATGCTAACATTTTCCCTGTTTTCCTCTCCTTGCTCTTGTTGGTGCACGGCTATACTGCTTTGCACCACACCGAAGGCTGAAGGTTTCCCCATGCTTGCATTTTTTGTTCTGTTCCACTTTCAACTTGAGCCTAGAGAGATCGAGTAGCAGGAACATTCGTCCTAAGAGCAATCTTAGATTTCAAGTTACATTAGGATTTGACAGATAATTCTGAATAATGCAAACAAAACTTGATTCAGTGCAACTTTTCTATGTAAGTTTGACTAAGGGTCATGTAGATTTGTATTCCGGTATTGCAGAATACTCGGCACTATAGCATAAGAGTGCTTCATAGTCCTCAGTCAAATTCATCTGCAAACCTTCCTTGAAAGAGAGGGAAACTTTATTTCCACTGTTAACACGGGGCAGCAGCAAGTAGTTTCAGCCCTTTTGCTCACCTGGAAAGTCAGTAAGTCAACAGTCAATTTCTTTGCTTTACTGCCCAGACCTTTTCGTCTTGATATTGACCAATAAAACAAGGATGGCTTCAGTCTTGAACTTCCAATTTAACTATGGAAAATAGAATTGGAAACGACCTCTATAGGTCATCTAGTCCCTCCTGGACCCCCAAGTCACTGTCACCCCTACCTAGCCTCACTCCAGTGTTGAAGAATTTGCAGTTCTCCCAGACACTCATTCCACTGCCTGGCCAACAATACTGCCAGAAACTTCTTCCTAATTTCAACAAAAGTCTTTCTCGAGCTGGCTTAAGTCATTACTGCTTGTCCTATATCCTGTAGAAATGGAAAAATATTTGCTATTTTTTTCTCTGTGAAAGATTTGAAAACTTATATATGTGTCTTTTCTGTCTTCTCTTTTCTGGACTAAAAGCACCTTCAATCCTTTCACTCTTTCTTCATAGGTCATATTTTCTAGACTTCAGCTCATCTTTGTTGCTTTCTGGACCATCTTCAGTTAATCCACATCTTTCTAGAAGTGTGGTGGCCAAAAGCAGACTACAGTGCTCCATCTGAGGCTTTGCCAGACTGGAGTAGGAGGGAAGGACTTCCTGTGTCTTGCATATGACACTCCATTTTATATACCCCTTTTATGATTGCTTTATTCACATCCGAATTGCATTTTTGACTTGCATTTGCTCCATGATCTTTTGTAACCCCAAGTCTGTCTCTGCAGGTCTGCTGCCTATTATTCCCCATCTTGTACTTGTGTTGTTGATTGTTCCTAAATACGGTATTTCACATCTTGCTGAACTGTAGCCTATTTTTTTCACCACTGCTCCATCAAGATCTTCTATATCCTAATCCTGTTTAACAAAGTGCTTTTGGCTTCCCTCCCTTCCCACTTTGAGGTCATCTGCAAAGTTAATAGCAACTCTGCATTTCATTGTTCAAGTCACTAAAGAAAATGCTGAATAATGCTGGGCTCCAGAGTACTGAGGAACTCTCCTCAACTCATTCTTTCACCATGAGTGTAAATCGCAGTTGAATATTCTTTGACTGTCGTTTTCAGATTAGTAGTTCTTCCTACTGTAGTTCCACCTATACCTAAATGGAGGCAAGAGCTTTACTAAAATCAAAGTGTATAGCACATACTTGCCTCCTTATCAGTGAAGCTTATTAACCTGTATCAAGAAAAATTACACTGGTCCACTTCCTCCTGAAGAGAAAAGCTCTTGGCAAGTCCAAGTGTATTGCTACGTTTTTCAGAGAACTAAAGTTAAGCTGAAATGGCCATAATTCCTTGAATTCTCTCACTGTCTCCCGCCTCGTCCCGTTTTTTTTTTTCCAAGACAAGCACTGTGAATGGGATTCAGCTCATAGTTCGAGACTGGTAAGTGTTCCTAAGTTCCCATTGTTGTCAGTGGAGATCTAGTCAACACAGTCAATGGAAGCCAGGGAGACACCCAGTTCACCCTGTGGCAGACATCTACATTTGGTCAGCAGGGAGCTCCATTGGCTTTGTTGACTTTGCCTGGATCTTTCTTGTCTGTCCTGGGAGCTTAGACTCTTGATTTATTGGTAAGAACTGTGTGTATTTCAGTCTGTGAGACCTTGTCCACCTCTGAGTTTCCATTTTTTTCTTTACATGTGGAACATCACCCATTCTTTTTGACTTCTCCAGTGTAACTTAATGTCTGATATTCGTTGAGCCTGTACCTTAAGGATTCCAGGACTAATTACCTAATCACACCAAGGTGCTTTGAGAATATTTAGTTTATTTAAATATTCTCTAATCCTTTTTTTTCCTTGTCCTAGACAGAATTCCTATTACTTTCTTAGCTATCATTAACCCTTAACATTAAAGAAGAAAAAGGAATTTGACCTTTCCCAGTGTCACTCACCATCAACTTACATTCCTGAAAGAGAGGTAGACCAACTTCTCCCCTGTTGTTTTTCTTCCTTCTAATCTATTTACAGAATGTCACTGTATTATTTCTTTTTCCTTCTAGTTCAGGCTGGCCAGATTTCCTGGGATTTACTAAAATTTGCTAAAATTCTGATGCAGCCAAACGCCGCAAGTTGAACCGTCGTCAGAGGACATGGAAAGTGCCTGGAGTAGTGATCTTGCCACTCAGTTGCTGGATACAACCACATACAACATTCAGCCACGTCTGGAGATATTTGATATCAGCATCATTTTGCAGATTACCTTTCAGCCACTCTCTCATGTTGGTCCCTTTGTCCATGAGGTGACAGACTCTGGGAATGGGGAACTGCCCTTGACCTTCTTGAGACATGCATGGAACCTGGCCTTTCTGGTTTTGCCTCTACATTCTGTAGTATTTCTTTTGCACTCATCTAAACCTCACATATTTTATAGGTCTCTTGAGCTTCAGGACATTGAAGAATTCATGATTTAGACAGGCTTTTCCTGATGGTCCTTGGAATGAGGTAGTCTGTGTAATTATGACCTTAATATTGTTACTTTGAGAAGTTTTCCACTCTCTTAAACTACCTTGTCTTTTAAGTTTGCTTCTGCTTGATCATAAATAACAATTATTGAATCATTGAAGCTTGCTTTCTTGTTGCTCACAGAATTTCCTTTCGCTCTTCTCCATCGTTACCTGTCCTAAAATCCATGAGCTTCTCCTGCCTCATAATTGATGTCTGCCCAATTATCCTCCACATCCATATTCTCAAATATTTATTTCTTGCCGGTCAGAGTCAGGAATTGAAGATCTTCCTCTCCTGTTCTTTCATATATATTCCATATCTAAAAGTGATCCCCACCGCATTCCAAAGACTTAGCAGAGGTTGTCCCATCCTACTGTCCCACAGTGCATATTACCACGTTGCCATCCAGCCTGATGTTCTGGATGATTCTATTGGTGGTTCCAAAAGGGACACGGTGTTAGGCTACATCTGAACTTCTTGGGGTGAAGGTCTTATAGTAGATTTCCACAATGGAGACATTGTCCTCCTTCTTCCATTTTCTTCTTACCCAAGCACTTTCAAGAGGTCTCTCTGCTTCTGCTCTTCAGCCTCATTCTGACTCTCAGGCTAGGTCTGTAGGCATCCTTAATACATAAGGTAAATATTTTTCTTTTTTTTTCTTTAGTTTTTTTCCCCTAATCGTGATGTAACCTGTTACATCACTTTTCCTGGGCTCAATTACACGGAGAAAGTTATAGTTTTAACCATACATGAAGTTATCCCATTCCT